TCAGTGATGAATCAACACAATAGCATGAACTGTTTTTTTGTGTTTTTTTTAATATTAAAATACTTGATTACACAAATATTGTTTTTGTACATATCCTGATAGCGAGTTAATTAATTCTTGGCATACATGTGGTATGATTTTGCTGATCAATTGTTTAGATACTCTGAATGTGTATGAAAGAGAACTGTATGAATCTCCAGTTGCAAGATACCGTAATGTAATAGCCAGCCTCGTTTGAGGTGAAACTGGCCGACGAATGTTTGTTTCCCTTTTGGCTATTGACGGACCATTCATTTCCAGAAGATGTTCGAAATCACTTTTCGACATTCTCGTTAAGTTAATAAATGATCCATCTGTCATTCTGAGGTCACTCATCAAATTTTCTCTTTGCAGGAGATAGTTTCGAATCCACCATCTTTTTTCTTTTTTTTTTATTAGAAATTCTATACATCAGATACAGAGAACACAACAACACTACTTCCTTGGGCAACATTTTAACGCAGACTGACATGTGGACAACGTATATTGATTTAAACAAAGTTTAATCAACATTCTCCCCGTTTCATCAATATGTATCAACTGTTGCTCAACAAATGTTTCTCATGAATACGGGGCTTGAGAGGTGACAACATAATTCAAAGACCGCATTTAAAAAAAAGTTTCTGTCCAGGGAAGAACCAGCAAAAAAAGAAAGAAAGCACTTTAGTGTCATTTTTCACTATTTCAAAAGCATTCACTATCCTATTTTTATATTCTCGGCACTTGTCTTACTAAAATAAAGTAATCAGCTGATTTGGGAGGTCACTAGACAGCCGTGACCTAGTTAGCTTACATCGTAGCCGCGCTAATGCGAAGCGCCAGAGGCAGTATTATGCTATCTCGCTTGAAATAAGGTTCATTTTTCTTTATTTTGTATTGAATAACTAAATAATAAATACATTTTTATACAAAATATTTACATGTACACTAGGGATTGACTCAACTATATCAAAATTAATGTCAATATTTATCTTGAATGTTTACAAAGAATCGATACACTTGCACACACATCAACAAAAAGAACAATGAAAATTAATGTTCCATTTGCGTTCTAAAAACGTAATTTTATTACTCTGGATTCTAAATTAGAAAAGAATGGTCATCATTTATTTGACGGGTTGGTGGATTCCATCCAAAGAAGAGCTCAACAATTTGCAACAAACATTTCATTGAAACGTATAAAATAAAAAGCAGAATAAAAACAATTTTATTAAAAGGAGCATTTACTACATTATATGTACCAGTGAGTATAAAATTATTAGAGTAAGACTTCAAAAATTTAACTTCAAAAACTTTAGACAAAAATAGAGATTGATTTCTATACGTTATAAAACTGTAGTACATTAAAGATAAAAAATCTTGAGATTATCCTATTTCACAACAACTCTTAATACCCGATTCATGCTTGATGTCCGACGACAGTGTGCCGAGGGCTTGATCTGCGAAATTAAGCTGCATTTGCCGAGGTCAGTCCATGGATCATTTGTGACCGTGACTGTTTTCTTAATATACCGAGTTTGAATGCATCTGTATCCTCAGACACTTGGTGCATTTTAATATCTCCTGCGTATTTGATATTTCTAGATTAAACATGATAAGTTTATTATTACTTTACATTTTTCAGGGACAGATGAAAGAGAGAGTAGTCTCATCGTATGTTAATCTTAAACAAATTAATTACAGTTACTTATTGATCTTTAAACAGAACATTCTTTTTTTTTAGGGATTGGTGACAAACGAGCATACAGTCCACCTGATGGTAAGTGGTTGGTGTTGCCCATGATGGTGTGTTGACATCTACATCTATCCTCGATTACGAATCAAAATGCAGATGCGTTGTCACCCGTGAGGAATAAGATGGTATGCTTAGTTTCCATTAAATACGGTCTCCGGTTCTCTACACTCACCATACGAAACAAAACAGCGTTAAGCTGCTATTTTACTCTGGTATTCTGTGATAATGTGTTATTTAACTGATTCCTACAACTTTCTTTACTTAAATTATTAAGTTTACTTTCATGTTTCTGAATATGTAAGGGGGCACTGGGATTGATTTGGTATCAAGTTTCATCATCATCATTACAGCCGTTCACAACTCCACTGCTGAACATAGAGCATAGCCCTCTCCATAGCTCGCTGAGCGACCTTGAGCTTCCTCATCCGGCCAGCAGTGAAGGACCACGTCTCAGTTCCGTATGTCATCACTGGCAACATGCACTGGGTGTACAGTCTCGTTTTCAAGTTTTGAGGTATACCTGATGAGAAGATGTATCTTATTTTCCCGAACGCTGCAGTTGAATCCGTCGATTGACCTCTCGGTCGAAGTTGGACTTACCTAGTCGGACTATTTGTCCCAGGTAAACATACTCGTTTACAACTTCGAGCTTAGTGCTCACGTATGTAGTATGACACGTGTTTTGAATCCGATTTCAAGTACTCAGTCCTGCTTGTATAGTACGTCCATGAATATTTCATATTTCTAGATAAAACATAGATATTATTTATACTGATTTGTGGTCTGTGAGCAGTGACCAAAGCGTATATTATCACTCGATCACTTGGCGGTGAGCTGTGACCAGTGACCATAGACTTAGAATATACTGGCGTACCGTGACCGAAGCATTGAGTTATATGTACTACGTACTAGAGAAGCCATTCCGAACATTGACTATGTTCAACTGAACTGTAGTGCAATCCATACAAACTAAATATTGCGTAAATTGAGGATTTGTGAATTCCATAAAATAATTATTATTACATTTTATTTAGAAATATGTTTGTTTAGATTAAATTAAGATATTTTATATAAAATTCTTATATTTATTTTATATTAATATTTTATTTTATATTAAATTAAAGTCTTCGCGCATGCGCGACTACTACTCCCGCGCATGCGCGAAGACAGAGTAGGACACAATTTTTGTTTGGAATGGCTATGGAGTGTAGAGTAGAAGGAGAACCATCTTATAAGGTGCGAAAGTTGAAAAAGTGTCCCAATATATACTGAAAATAGAGGTTCCAAAACCTACCACAATAGCGCTGGCATCTAAAAAACTACGATATGAATATAGCTGTTGTAGACGGAGTGAAGTCAGCTGAATTAAAATATTTAAAAAATTTCATGACTAGAGTAGTTAGTAAAATGCCAGTATACAAAACCTCAACTATTTACGTAGTACAAAACCAAGCAGATTGGTCGGTCCTTGTTTATTTCTCCATCTTATTCTAATGAATTTTGGCGCTTTTTTTTAAATTTATCCTATGCTACTGCAGCGCCACCCTTATTGGACGCGTTTTTAGGGACACTTTTCATATACAGAGATGGTCCTCCTTCTACTCTACACTCCATAGGAATGGCTTCTCTAGTACGTAGTACATATAACACAATGGACCGAAGTAAATGTAATGGTTTTTTTTCCATTTCTTGGCCTGCATGGTTTGTGCGTCAGTCATGCAAAAAGGTTAGAAAGTGTGTTATTGGATTTATTATATTGGATTGGAAATTGGAACGGAATTTGGAAAAGGATCAGGTAAAGTACATAAATGGTTATAATTTTATATTGTTATGAAAAATGAAACTGGCTAAAATTCTATATACATCAATATTTATATTAGATAAAAGGACAGAAATTGAAGTAGGAAAAAGAATTTTAATGGACAAAAGCGAGGAAATAAAAGCGGAACGGTCATGTCAAGGACAGGCAAAGAATATATGATTAAAATCCCCAACGTCATTGCCACACTCACATATATCGCTAGGTCTTAGAGTATTCAACTAACTAACGTTAGTTGAATACTCTAAGCGCTAGGTACATACAGGTACATAATGGTTATAATTTCTTTGCCTGTCACTTTGACTTTGACCATAGACTACTAAATCTGTATGAGATTGACACAAAGAGTAGTGATGGAACTCGAGTGAAATTTTTTCCACTCGAGTCACTCGCCAGTGATAGCCTAGTCACTCGAGTACCACTCGAGTGAAGATAATACTCGGGTGACTTTTTTTTCACTCGAGTTACTTTTCTGCCAAAAACTAATAACACCATTGTTTTCCGCGATTTGTAAAGGTTATAAATCTTGACAAATCATTTTAATTAGAGCTTAAGATTTTTTTTTCTGTTTCTGGTTAGTAAGCGATGTAATAGGCCTTGCAAGCTGTAGTTGCTGAAAACGCATCATTTATGTAGAATTGGAATCAGCACACGTGGAAGCAGAACTCACCTTCAGTAGCTTAAGAACACGCATGAAATGAACTTGACTCACCCCTAATGTCCATATACTGAATCTGATGTTTATTCTTCATATTATGAGAAATCAAGTTGATTGTATTCCAAGTCTTGCACAACTTAGAAATCTCTTTTTTGTTTCACATTTGTCGTAAAATAATTCCTAAAAATCTATAGTGTGGTTACTATGGCTTTTTTGGATCTATCACTCATTTGGAACAAGTACTAATAGCAAACAGTCTTAATGAACTGTCAAAGTCTTGAGTGGTTAAATAAACGTATTACTAAAACAAACAATGGAAGATACATCGACTAAACCTGTCTTAACTTGAATTTCTCACTCGAGTCTGTACAGGCCACTCGAGTGGTCCGAGTCATTCGAGTTGACTCGAGTCACTCGTAATCCGAGTTGTCATAATATTACTCGAGTGCGAGTAAATTTAAGCTACTCGAGTGAAATACGGCTCTAGTCCCATCACTAACAAAAAGTTGATACTTGACAGAAAAAAGGGTGTTCGTACTTCGTACATTACTTTCTTTGATTTGCCCTCGTATCATATAATCATAGCATACGTATTTTTTTCACTATTTCTTTCTCACTAAATTTAATGCAATATCAAATTAGTTAAAGTAGACTTTTGATGTAAACAGTGCCACATATAGAATTTGTAAATTGTACAGTATATCAATATATATAAATTTGCTTATTTTCGTTTTAAATACGTATCTAAAATGTCGAATCATAGGTATATCAGCAATCCAAGTAATTTATTCGAAGATGACGATGTCGACAACGATACATTTGTTCAAAGTTATAGATCAAGACTACCTCAACCTCAGCAGAATCCAGCTAATATAGCTTATGGAGGCCAGATCACTGATCTTGAGAAACAAAGACAAGCAATGTTACTAAGACAAAAGGAAATAGAACAACGAACTTTAGATTCCTCTATAAGAAGTGTTGGTCTTTTACGTGACTCTGAACAAATAGGAATTGCTACTGCAGAAGAACTTGTAAGACAGCGTGAACAGCTTCAAAACACAAACAGAAGGTTAGATGAAATTAATACAAACCTAAATTACAGCCAAAAACATCTGAATGGCATTAAATCTGTTTTTTATGGACTTAAAAATTATATATCTGGAAAATCAGATCAGACACCTCCAAGAAGTCAAGCATCGCCAGATAGTCTGAGTTCAAGAGCTGGGCCTAGTAGTAAACTTGAAGACACCATCGATAATATGCCTCAAATTTCTTCAGAAGATCGCTTCAACAGCCACCCATCAACAAGAATACGGGGCTTAAATCAAGACCAAGTTACAAGTGCACCAATATCTGATAGCAAGCGTATCAATGAAATGCTGGATGCCAACTTAGATGAAATGGTTCAGCACATAACTAGATTAAAAGGCCTTGGCAGTGCGCTTGGGGAAGAAATTGACCTGCAAAATAAGCTTATAGACACCATACAAGATAAAGTAGAGGATGCAGATATAAAAATTGGAAAACAGAATAAACAAATGAACAAAATTTTAGGAAAATAATACATTTCAATGCTTTTAGTTAATTATTTTTCTATTGGTATGATATACACAAAAATTACATAATCATTTCAAATGATACTATTAAGCATAATGAAGTTTTCAATATATAATATGTACAAAGATATATTTAAAAAAATTGCATGGACATATAATGATTATTGCATTATAATAAATTCTTATTTTGTAATATTAACAACTTAATACATATTTTATTTTAAGTTATTATCGGTATAGGCACATTTATCAGGAAGTTAATTAAATTTTGTTTATCCACTTATCACATACTATTAGTTTCCTCATTTAAGCACTTACTACAATGTAATAAAATTATAATAGTTTTCAAAGCAGAGTTTCATTGCAAAAAATATTGTTTAGTTTAAAAATTAATATGGTACCCCTAATACCAGTCAACTTAAAAAAAATGTATCCATTTTAATACACAATACCCTGTGTAGTGGCTGGCAAGAATACCCACTACCCCATATCTTCCCATGGGTGTAGTAAGAAGAGAGGGTTATGCTCGGGGTTTCTCTGCATGATAACCTTAGAAATGAGGATAGTAGAACCAGAGTAACTGACATAGCCCAACGGATTCGTAAGCTGAAGTGGCAATGTGCTGGCCATATAGCTCAAAGAACTGATCACCGTTGGGGAAAAAAGGTTATTAAGTGGCAGCCTCGTATCGGTAGGCCATCTTCTAGTAGGATGACCCCTACTTAGGGTTACCATATCTCAGGATTTGTCCTGAGATTTCAGGATTTTTGACTTCTCAGGATTGCGGCTGGATTTTGCAAATCTCAGGATTTTTAGAACTTTCAATATAATACAGCTTACATTTTAAAAGATCTCTTAATAAAAAGTTAAACAAACTAAAAATAATTTTCCTTTGGTAATAATTCCACAATTAAAATCAAAACTTATTTATCCAAGTAGGTAGGTACTTAAACAGTTTTATCATACTTAATATGTGAAGATACCTTTTTAAGTAAGGTTTTCTTCTCAAACTGTAAAACAATCTCAGGACTTTTAAATGGAAATCAGGCCTCTTCTCCGGATTTTTAATTTTTTCATCTGGTAACCCTACCCCTACTAGATGAAGAGACAACCTGGTAAGACATGCAGGAAGTCGATGGATGCAGGTGGTTCAGAACCGTGCTTTGTGGCATTCCTTGGGGAGGCCTGTGTTCAACAGTGGACTTGTGAAGGGTTGTAATGATGATGATGATGATGAATTATTTAGTATGTGCATATTTTTGACTTTCTTACAGTTTTAAATATACAACAAATAAGTACCTATAGAAAAGCAAAATATTTAAGCTTTTATTTAATTCTTAATTAAAATTAAATAAATAATTCTTAACTAAAAATAATTATAACATCAAAGTTAACCTATTCGTTGCGGCACCAATTTTCGACAACTTTTAGCTGTGGCGACGAACAAATATTTCATGACACGCCGGGCGTGTCTACGGCCACAGACAAAAATGGCACGCCTATTGTGCCATCCGCCATGTGTAAAAGTAATGTTCTTTTTTATGCTTTTTTTACTTGTTTAACCTAATTAAGTTTATTTGACATCAAACATAAGTTACAAATGGAAGGATACTTGTTTTTAGTGGGTAACTACGTTTTTTTACGCGTTTTCTTTGAAATTGAGAGTAAGTGACTTTTCTTATGAAGAGATTACAAACCTTTTGTACTATTTTTTGTTGTTATAAAAAAATCATTTATATAAGTAGGTACAGCTAAATCACCCTGGAAACCTTGGTTTTTATTAAATTAAATTTTCACCTAATAATAACATTTGTAAATATCAAACAATGAAGAACCTTAATATGAAAAAAAAAGGTATATCATTCATTGATATTTACTAATGTTAAATATTATTTAATGTTATACAAATGTAAAAGTAAAGTCGATCTGAAAACGTCTAATTAGTAAGAATAGCAAGTGTTTTCAAAAGGAAAAAAACGCCGGCGCTATACGGCGGCGGATTGACAAAAGACTATTTATTAGCGAGCTTTTTTTATGCATGAACGGTTTCGAACTGTTTCAAGCAAAAGTAAACCTTATACCATATCACAAGAGCACATGGTACTTCGTAGGTCTATTCGGCATATGATAGTAACAAGACGGCAGTTCAACCATTTTAAGCAAAATTAAACAATAAGACAAACGCATTGTTTTTTTTAACAGGAGACTTGTTTTCCAGAAATTTATTTACAACTTGAGTTTGTGAGCGATCGCAATGAGTGCTATTATTTGTTACTTATTAGACAATTTTTCCATAACATGATTTAAAACCCACAAAGTAAAAATAGTACCATGTACACGTTAAAAAAAGGTTGTCAACTCCTAAAAATTTCACATTTTCAAAATATCCAGAAACGAAGCTGCATGCATGAACTACTCGCAAAATAATGAATATTTTGTTCTGGAATTTTTTTCCAAAAAAGCAATTTGAGCGAGTTATAACGATTTTTAAAAAGACACGACTCGCGTGTCATACGCCACACACAAAAGTAATTAATGGCACGCCTGGCGTGTCACCCGCACTGAACCTACCCTACAATGGACAATATAAATTTATGTAAATACTAATTTATGTAAAAATGTTACTAATTTAAATCGTTGTCCATTGTAGCCTCAAAATTATATACAGGCTGTGGCGGCGCTGTCGTCGTCGCTGTCGTGATCGGCCCGGGGAGCGTTGGCCGCTCCCACGGCCGATCACCTTACCTGGCGGGAGAATCTCCTCTTTTCCTTCCTACGGCCACAGTGGTCACCAACCGACGTAAAGTGAACACGTAACCAACAACCTTCGGAAAAACTACAACTTCAAGCCTTCGTCATTATCCTCAAGAACCCCAAGAATCGTCTTCTGCAGTCTTCAGCTCCTGCAAGCCAGTGCAACTTGTCTTCATCTCGACTCACCGCAGATTTATAAGGCAGACATCTGGCATTTGCTCCGGCACATTGTTCTGACCGGTATATAGTTCGCACCGGCGTCACTTGCCATTAAGCACACAGCATGCATTCCCCACCGGCAATCGGAATGCACTATCGGCCTTCGGTCAGAGCATTGCATTGGGGGGTGATGTGGCGGCGCTGTCGTTGCCTCACAAACGAAATACGTCGAAGTCTATATCGCTCTACCAAAGTTCTGAAGTAAAGTAAGCAATATATATATATATATGAACTACCACACTGCGCCCCCTTTACCCTAAAGGGAGTCGCTTCCGATTCGGCGGAAAGGCCATACAGGTGGTGAATGCTCATAGCATACAACGCAGCCGGCTGCGTGGTATGCTATGAGCATTCACCACCTCCCTCCCCCGCTTCGGGAGGGTAGCCTTGCATTAGGCGCAAAAAAACTACCACTCGGAGCGTTGGCCGCTTCGCGGGCAGAACACCTTGCCCGGCGAGAGATTTTTTTTCCACGCCCACATGGCTTTTCCAAAGTTCTTTCTTATTTTGCATGTATAATATTTTATCTAAAACTACTACTACCCCATATCTTAAATTACTTATTTCATTACCTCATTAAGCTATTAATAGCGATGACATCATATTGTTTGAGAATTTTGTTTTATAGAACTTGTTACGATGAAATAAATTTTATCATTGGCTTCTACACTTCCTACTGAATATCCTTGGTTTTATTTTATTATTTCAGTAATCAAACAACCTTAACACCATTATTTAAAATTGTTTCAATGTTACAATTCAACTTTTGTGTTTTAGAATAACTGTTCTCAGCAAATTTCTTACCCTATATCTCGGTAAATGTTTTCTACCTCTACCTATGCTTTAATACTGGGATATCCCCCTAAATAATAAAACCACATATGTATTTATCCATTAAATTATATGACCATGTGTTGTAATTATAAACTTTGTACTTAGACTTATTTTAATGATATAGCTTTATTACCTTGTAAGAGTCATTGCAACTCAGGATCAGAAGAATGTGGTCGTCGTACAGGATTACACGAGCAAACCTAATTCCACAACGCCGCGCCAGGCGCCCATTAAAGATGTATTAAATAAAAATAAAAAACCGTTTTATGTGCTAATTAACCATGTGTTTCACTATGGTAGTGAAAGAAAAATCGTGGGAATTGAATGTCTGGGAAATAAAAAGAAAATGAAGAATCCCGCAAACATTGGAAGTGGGCGCGGAAGAAAAATTATAACATTTTCAATTTAAGATTTCGTGGCCTTCTTTTTATTCGCGCTATAGTTTTGAGTGACGATGTTCAATCCAATGACTGGATCTATTGACTATCTTTAGAGGATTTTAGATAATTTAATAATTGGCACCATAAAATATCTAAAGGCCTACAGGATCCTATTTTTACAAGCTTTTATTTAACTTCCAATGTAACTATGTTTGTTCGGGTGGAATCATGCAACTCAATTTTGAAGCAGATATCTTCAATCGATTGAGCTGAAATTTTGTATACACGTTAAGTTTGGATGACAATGCATGGTTAGCTGTGTGACGTCATTCTAAATCCAACATGGCGGAACACCGAAGATGGCGGACTAGTTATTTTTAATGAACTCCTACAATATGGGTATAAAAAATGAAAGGGCTTGCTTAGTGTAACTTGAAAAATAAAGTGACATCACTCTAAATCCAATATGGCGGACTTCTAAAGATGGCGGACTAAGTTTTTTATACTTTCCTACAATATGGATATCAAATGAAAAGACTTGCTGAGAATACGAATGCGAGTTAACCAAAAATAAGATGGTGATCATAAACTCGGTTGCTCTAATCCATCTGAAATTTTGGTGTACTGGGGTTTTTGCAGTCCTCGATAATGGTATTGAGGTCGAATTGTTCGAGTCTGTAGCATTGGTTGGTTAACTTTGACTTGTGAAATTTGGCGAGATATGCGTCAACAGCATTGGTTTGCAACCTGACTAGAAGAAGGGTAACTCCAAAATCAAACCTGGAACTGTATTTCGTAAGGCAAAAGTAAGCTTCAAGA